AAGTTCTAATAGGCCGATCTCACTTAAAATTGGTCTAGGAATGATCAGCTCATGGTCCTGACAAAGTTAAGTTAACATTATACTATTTTTTACTCAAATTGGTACATATTTCAACAACAAAAATAAATACTGTAGACTCAGGTGACCGTTTAGGCCCATGGGCCTCTTGTTATACATGATGTTTATTTGTTTTTAATTTCTTATATTTCTTGTACAACTGTAACTTATAAAGTTTTCACTTTGACTTTTTCTTCAGGAGTGTTTCAATTGATAAACTCGTGCATATTTTAATAAGGAAAAACTTTTGAATTTGTCACAGACTCAACATGGAAAATAGTTTTTGTTGTGAAGCATAAATGGTGTCCATTATGAGACCATTTGTTTAGTAGAACGTTTTGATGGGACTAGACAAGGACTTAAAGATATAGGCTGCCTATTTTACATTTGGATGTTAAAGGTAGAGTCCTCAAATATGTTTGAATAAGTTCATCTCGCAACTTAGAAATACATACCTGGTATATTTAAATGAAACTTCGAATATTTCATCAATATGAATTTCAGATGTTGACTATGCAATATGTTTTTAATTTACAGAGTTATTGCTCTTTATGGGCACAACAGTTTTGTTAGACAACTAGGCCCTGATACATTTTCATTCACTTTCTTTGAGATCTCATAAGTCTAGTCACTACAATACGTAGTTGTATGTCAAGCTAAGTGTATCAATTATTTCCCCAATCAGTGTATACACAATTTGGATACATATTACTGCTAGTTTGTCTCTGAAGTTTGGCACAAAACTTAGTTTCCAAACTCCACATATGTATGTATCATTTCTAGATGGTATTTCGTGTAACACCCTCAGGTCCATACTCTAAAGGTGAAGGTCAAAGCAGTGTTCCAAACATGTGCCAAGTGCAAGTACTTAGACAGCAGTGCAAGGAGAAATTTAGCGCTGTTCTGTCTTCCATGATTCCTGTTTCAGACACTCTAATATAACCTTTTCATCTTTTTAGCTGTTCTCTCTTCCATTATTCCTGTTTCAGACACTCTTGTATAACCCTTTCATCTTTTTAGCTGTTCTTTCCTCCATAACTTCTGTTTCAGACACTCTTGTATAACCCTTTCATCTTTTTAGGTGTTTTTCCTCCATAATTCCTGTTTCAGACACTCTTGTATAACCCTTTCATCTTTTTAGCTGTTCTCTCCTCCATAATTCCTGTTTCAGACACTCTTGTATAACCCTTTCATTTTTTTTCATCAACATAACACTTATGGGAAATGATTTAATTTTAAACAGAATTTATTTGTTTTGGCCTTAGGATGATCAATCAGATATTGTGTCTTATATTTAGACGAGACAAAAGAAATGTACATGTAACCAGTTTGAGATGGGACCTTGGTTTCCTGTGTGTGTGGATTGGATGTGGAGTGTCCGTAAACGTACATATTATAGCTGTTATCGTATCTTAGCACATTTTCACATTTATAATATTGGGTTAAATTATTCTTGCAGTATTTTCAGTTTCTGTGTATTGTTTTTTGTGGCACATATTGTGAGTATGAAAATACATCAATATGCTTATCTGTTAAAATTTGACAAGACACTTAAATATGAGGCCACTAAAATAAGTATGTTTACAATATATGGATTATGTATGTATTTTTTATGAATAAAGATATAAAATAAAAATTTAAAAAAAGTTGTGTTGTATCTGTCATTATTTTATCGGGTATAAATCTTATGATTGTCATTGCCTTTATTTCTAGACCTTTTCAAGCAATCATATTGTGTCTACAGACAAATATACGGACAATCTGGTTCCAGCTTGTGTGGGTACAATCATATACAAGGTTTCTAGTTGTGTGTTTGAAATTTCATCAAGAAATGTTCAAAGTCAAATTTTTGGTTTATGATTGACAGCTTCTATAATGAAATGTAAGATTTGAACAAGAGGTCCATTGGTCCTGTACTGCTTACTGTACTGCTCACTTGTTGGTCAAAGATTTTGAATTTTGTTGCTCTATGATCTCACAACCTCCTGGTAGACATATTTTAGCAAATATTATTGAGAAGCAATATGATTGGTTAAACCTACCAATAAATAAATCCTTTCCTTGAAGGAAGACAATAACCTTTTTTTGAGTGAATTATTTTTAAAATGTGTAGTATTTAAGCAATGAATGTTTGAGCAAATTTTGTTATGGTCATATAACACACATTGCTATTGATGACAAACTTGTAAGTTTGTGAGCAATAGCAATGTGTGTTATAGGACCATAACATTATTTTCTAAAATATTCATTGTTTATATTTACATTTCGATAGAGTAGTTATGCTTTATTTAGTTATTTCGAACTGTTCTTTCAACAGCAAATTAAGTCTTGACAACAATGAAATTGATGACGTCGCAATAGAAAATGTGTTATAGTCTCATAACAACATTTGCCATCTCAATGCATTGCAATAGAAGGATGCAGACCAAATGTAAATATTTCAAAATGGACTAGCATAGTTTAATTTTTTAAGATGGAAAATTTCAGTCTATCAGCACAGGGCAGCCATATTGGATATCAGTCACTACGGAAAATATGTATGCTAGATGCAAATTGAGAAGAAGCTAAAATTGTCTTATCAATCTGAAGTAAGGGTGTCCATCATTAATTTTAAGTTGACCCTACAGCACTTGGTCAGGGCAATGGGAGGATCAATTGTATGACGTTAATCGGTCAAAATCCAATTAGCCATTCTTGAAAAGAGGTGAAAATGTGACAAGTTATTGGACAGAGGGAGTAACACCAGACAGATGATGGATGTCATATCAAGGTAATTAAGGTCATTTTAATCTGGGGCTAAGTATGGCAATTATAAAAACAAAAAGATAAAAAAAACTCACAATCAATCTTAACTTTGTCACTTTATTATCACTCATTGATATTGCCATATAATAAAAGATATATTTCATTAATCTGACAGAATGAAGGTTTAAGGACAGCAGACACATACATAGGGTATACCGTATATATATAAATGTTAAAATCAATAACCCTATGCTTTTGCCCACATTTAATTTACATCTTTTTTGCCCTTGTACAATAGAGCAAAATCAACATGGGGCAAAAATTGTGACGGCCTAAGTTACATGTATATAGTTTTAACCCAACATAGAATTAAATCATCAGAAAATGGGAGAGATGATCTTAAAAGCCTGGAAGGTGAATATCAAGTATGGTAAAAATAACACAGATAACAGGAGAGAATGTGTGATTGGTAAGACATTGTTAAAAAGTGACACTCCCTTTAACAGTGTTGTTTCAATCAAGCTATACTGGCTGGGTTAACGTTGTTTAGAGTCTGCTTAATTTCAACAGTTAATTATTCATTTAATTAAACATTTCAATCAGAAAATCAACAATTACAGATATAGAGATAGAATCAAATGTCTAGAAGACAAGTGTTTAATCTGTCACCTAAGAGTGAAATCAACAATCACAATTTACAAAGCCTGCTTTATTAAATGATAATTAAACTGAAACTTCTTATAATGCAAAAATATACAACTGGATATATACATGCAGTGAATATCTACATTTGATACGTAAAAGTAACATAAACATTCTACAAAAAATATAATACAGTTTAATTACGAAAACCTGAGTTAATGACTCATTAAATAGCATAGCTATACACACCCAGGCCCTGATCGAATCACCAGACATCTGATCAACCCAGTCTTACACCACTCCTTCCCACCTTGAGTGTGTCAGAGAAATCTCCAACCCTCGGGTGATTATTTACTTGTCTAACATAACCCCTCAGGTTGAATATTTCTCTTTTTCACCCTCAAGGCAGAGACTTGTCTACCTGTCCTTTGTAGATTACCGAGGAACAACATCCAACTTCAAAGTCAGCCAATTTACTGTTACGCCAACAACGGATTCGTTTGATGTACATGTACAAGGATCAAACTGGTCTCATCCACAAGGTGGTGCACACTGAGCCTTCAATTTTGCTAGTTATGACAAATTTCAGGGGTGCACAGAGCAAAAGTGAGCATAACCCTTGTAAAATATTGAGGATGAGAATAAGAGCACATACAAGGTTTTGTTAGCTCTTACAAATCGGTATTTGGTGAGAAGCATTGGGACTCACCAGTGCAAATTCTTGTGGACCTCTTTTCCATGGGAACTATCTGGTCAAATGAGGCATAACTGGGAAACACTGATACATGGGTTCTGATTGACAATGACAGAGGTTCTCAATGATATTGACATAGGCTCACTCTGACAGACCACCAATAACATGCATTACAAATAGATGCATGTACTGTATGAACAAGGGAGAAACAATTAAAACATTGCAAAATGAAAACTGAAGGGATACATTTGAGAGTATAGTGTTATATTCAGAACTAATAATGTATGAACATAATGTATGAATTTGACAAAAAACAAAGATATCCCAAAGGATTTTCATGCTCACCCTTGCAAGTTATCCTTACTTCTGTAACAGGAAAGAGAGTATAGTGTGCTTCCACCGGGGATTGAACCTGCGATCCCCGACTTCGTAGTCGGACGCTCTACCACTGAGTTAAAGGGAAATTCCCTCTAGCTTAAAGCTAGAAGGCGACCATAATCTTATGTACATTCAAAATATGCCACACTTTTCTGGAATCTGTTGGAGTGATGGTAAGGTGGACAGCCTTTTCATCAAAATTTCCAACTGCTGTGTAAGAGATAGCCCATTTAAAGTGAGGATGACTTTTGACCTTCTTACTAGAACAGCAATGTGGCAAAAAAGAGAATAAGAGATCTTGAATTGATGGCAGCCATCTTTTTCTTCTGATTAAACTCAAAATGAAATATGAAAAACCAAGGAACAGAAAGATGTTTTACACAAGAAATTTTCGAGAAGTACTAATAAAAATTGAATTTCAATAGCCAAATTCAAGATGTCTGCCTGATCTAGCTGAAAATGAAGCATGCATGACCAAGAATCTAGAGGAACAAAAACACAGAATATGAGAAAAATCCGTTCAGTACTTTCTGTGAAAAGCCAATAACAATCCTTTATTGTCAAAATCCAAGATGGCTGTCTTGGAACCATTTTGCTCTTGTAATCAGTCTTTAAAATAAACCTACACATCTGAGTAACAACAGAACCTATCAGAACTTCTGAAAATTGAGAAAGATCCATCCAGTACTGGATGGCCGCCTGGAAGCCATTTTGTTCTTCCTGTCCCTGTCAGTCTCGAAACTAAACGCACAACTAAACGTACACAACTAAGGATACAAAATGATCAGCACGATACTTCCTGAGAAATAACTTCTTCCAGCCCAGCTAGCTGAACCATGTAAACCCACAATGAAACAACAGAATCCAGATGTTGAGGCTCGTTTATATCCTTTATATTAATTACCAGAATTGCTGAAGGACTGACGAAGGACAACAGACAAAAGTTAATTCGAGCTGATGATGGTTGGCTATACCGCTAATAAACACAATTCTCATCAGGACTGTATGAATAAATGTAGGACAATTTCACAAAATAAATCCCCTGTAGAATCACATGTGGTTATTAATACTATTTTCATCAACTTCCTGGCCGTCTATCTAACGTCAGAGATGTTGGTCAAATACATGTGTTGATCAACCAGTTAATTCAGACCTTCTCCTCACTTAGATTAGTTTATCAGCATCATGCCATACCTGCCAACATTTTGAAGTTTCCATTGAGGAGATTCTGCATGCTCAAAATAAAAACAAATAAATTGTGTGAATTTACTCCCTAGAGAAAAACATTTTATTTTTTTTAAATAAAAGGGTCCAAAATCGGGAGTCTCCCTCCAAAATAGGGAGAGTTGGCAAATATGCATACTACTAGACCATTTGATTTCGTGATTGAGAGGAAGTTATTTCAATATTGATACATTTTGTAGTACTTATACTCTATAGAGTTAGTATTCTTGGATGACTTGTGTATATGAATGAGTCTACTTGCAAATTAATGACAAACAATAATCTATCACAAAATAATACACATGTACCAGAACCAAAGAAGTCAACAAGGTCATATTTTGGAAAATGTAAAATGTGAAATTAGCAATTCAATTATCGTAATGTTCATAATTAATCCGACTTTTTATGTATTCCATTAAGAGGTATAAAACATATTTTCAGATTGTGACAAAGGCATACATGACATTTAATTACTGTGAAATCAGGTATTTTCATGAGGCCCAAATTTCATGTTTTTCCTGAAAAAACACCATTTCGTGGACACATGAATACATGGGTTATGAGTATACCCACCCAAGTGGAGAAAAGCTTTAAGTCAAACTTTGTAATTAATTTGTGGATTAAGAGTACCGATGAAAAAAAGCAAAATTTAAAACCCCACGAAAATTAGTAATTTCACAGTATGATATATTTGGTGCATGCAAATGATCAATTGTTTTTTATTCATATGGGTACGAAATGAACTTTTTCCAATGACAATGTTTAACAAGAGCTGTCGGAGAACAGCATAGCTCGCCTATGTATGTTATTATAATACTGCAACTATCACTAGAAACACATGTATAGTAAAACGTTGATATAGTGCCTGTCATTTTATTTGCCACCTCACTTACCACCAGGATATTTCAAGGACTTTGAAATGTGTAGAAACATCTATGTGAAGTGATTGTTAAGAAATTAACAAAGTCCAATAAAGCTGTTTTTGGACACTAAAATATGAAAATATGGTTCAACACATTGCTTACACTCAATACAAATACTTCAACCTTGTAACAGACAACAGCCTATTGATGGTGGTGGTCCAACACTACCCAACAAAATTTGCGCAAAAACTTAAACCTTAAATTTAACTACCGGTAAGTCCAACTAAGCTGTTTTTGGGCCATAAAATATGAAAATATGGTCCAGCACATTGCTAACACTCCATATAAATGACTTAAACTCATAATAGACAACTGTGATCAAGGATATCAGTACTAATACGAGCTGGATCCAGCATCAAGGAAATCAGTACTAATACGAGCTAGCTCCAGCATCAAGGATATCAGTACTAATACGAGCTAGCACAAGCATCAAGGATATCAGTACTAATACGAGCTAGCTACAGCATCAAGGAAATCAGTACTTATACGAGCTAGCTACAGCATCAAGGATACCAGTACTAATATGAGCTAGCACAAGCATCAAGGATATCAGTACTAATACGAGCAAGCTCCAGCATCAAGGATATCAGTACTAATACCAGCTAGCTCCAGCATCAAGGATATCAGTACTTATACGAGCTAGCTTCAGGATCAAGGATATCAGTACTAATACGAGCTAGCACAAGCATCAAGGATATCAGTACTAATATGAGCTAGCTCCAGCATCAAGGATATCAGTACTAATACGAGCTAGCTCCAGCATCAAGGATACCAGTACTAATACCAGCTAGCTCCAGCATCAAGGAAATCAGTACTAATACGAGCTAGCTCCAGAATCATGGAAATCAGTAAATATTTCAAATATCTACATCAGTAAATAAATACCAGCAATATTCCATCATGGGTCAGAGGTCAGATGTCGCCAGCCACCCAGCAACTAACCTTTGAAGTTGCGGTAGCTTTTTAGAATGACTGGGTCAGTCAGCACAGAACTGTTGGGGTTCAAAGACCACAATCTTTAAACACGGAATAAAGTGGCAGTAGGGACACATCCAGCTGGACAACACAGAATTGTCACCTACAACAGTACTCCGGTAAAGGGGGCGGGCTTATTACCAGGCGCCCATGCTATTCTTGGAAAATAAATAAAATGCTTATTACCAGGCATGGGCTTATAATGGGTAAATTGTGGTAACTAATTTTTATTGATAACACCAGGCTTCATTACTGATGTGGGCTGTTATTTACAACTACTGTAGGAGATCTGCAGAGTATAATTGTTTTGTAGAAGAGGTTGACTGATCGTCTCAAATCCCAATTACTATACAGTGGTAACCAGACTTGTTTGATTCCTGAATTACTGATATACTTAGCACACTCCTTAACTCCTTCACCCCTGAAGACACATTTGAACTCTTCCAAATCAAAGGTTGGAATAGTTCATTATGAAATTTCAGGGGTGAATGAGTTAATGTTCTCATCTGTTGACAAAAAGATGCATACATTAGAGATCGGAAAATTACATCATAATATCAACAAGGTTATAACAATTGTTAAATGTATTCCGGACTTTAGCGTGAAATCAAGAATATCTCAAATATTATTGAATATATCCTGGATTTTTGGAAAACATGACATCAGGTAAATGTTGCGACATGTATGCTAGACTCCAACATGACATAAATCAAATGTCATTGATCATGTTTTGGATTTTTGGTGAACATCAGTTTATGGGATGACATGTAACAAATTTTAGACACCACAAAGTATTGAGACAATTTTACAAATAGGGTACATACCGAGTTTAATAAATTTATAAGATCACAATGTAAATATATAAATAGTTCTTACGTTCAGTTTGATACCAAAGCTCAGATCTTACATTACACTTGATGAGGGGTATTTGTATCAGCGGTATACAAACTAGGAGATGACCTGATCTGTCTGGTGTTGCAATGTCATGTCTTACAATACACCATGAAGATAAGTTAGATAACATCTTTGAAACTGCTATGGTACTTGTTGATCATGACATAGTTAATTATGAAATGAGGTCATTGGAATTGTTATCGTTTATGACCTAGCTATGGAGATGACACTTTGAGCTGTTGTGGTACGTAAGAATTACGTCTTAATTTGGTTATGAAGATGTCGTCTTCGGAACTGTTATGAAGGTGACGCCTTGAGCAGTTGTGACCAGTTGATAACATAATTAGTTATGAAGATGACTCCTGTAACTGTCATATACCACAATATAACTCTGCAAGGATGGTGATGAGTAAGATGAAGAAGATTAAGTGATTATGACATTCAGGATTCTGGCTTCACATTTTCCCTGCAGATCGGACAATCTCCTTTCATCTGAAAAAACAACAGTGAATATCTCATTATATTTACTAAACTGGCAGATATATTTAGACGATACATATGAAAATTACCTTTACTATGAGATTACAAAAAGGTTTTGACACTCTCCCCCTAACTATTACATGGCAGACATGTTGACACAAAGATATACATACATTTAACCAGTACCCATACATACAACAATGATGATAGAAATATGGAAAAAAGGTTTTGACACTCTCCCCCTAATAATTACATGACCGACATGTTGACACACAAATACATACCTTAAATCAGTTATCTACACAACAAAGGTCGTATAAGTTAATACAAGATTAGGTTTTGACACACTCACCTTACTTATTACACAAATGAGATATTGACATGCAGCTATACATACCTTTAACCAGTTATCTATACAGGACTTGTGGTACATGTGAGAACATGGTAAAATTTTGACATTCTCCCCTTCACTGAATGTGGAAAGACATATCCGACATTCATGATCTGTTTTCTGAGACATCGCTCCATGTGCGTCTTTCGTGAATGCACCTGATTTAAGCCCATCTATAACCTCCTGTGTCAACCCATTGTCCTTCACATTTCCTATAGTTTCCGCTAGCTCCCAGAGGGCCTGCACAAAAAAAGAGGAAAAGTAAACACACGCAAGACCAAGGAAGTTGATGTCAAAATGATAACAAGAGAAGCACCCCATTCCTATTCTAATTGTAGGATACACTTGGGTATTTTCATACGCGAATATTAGGCAAAGGGAACATATAATATTAGTTTCAATTATGTTTATCATAAACCTTTAAACAGTTATTTTTTTCAGATCATCAAAGAGAAAATTATTTATTGAAATGACTGCAAATATGGTGAATATTTTTTCCTTTCAAATGAAGCAAAATATTGTTTTTTAAGTTACTTCTATTTATCACATAATATTAACACTGTATGGCATAGCAACTATGTAAACCTGACAAATTCAGATTGCATTCATAATCTTTGTAATGTTTCATACCGAAGACCCTCCTGGACCATGATCGATGAATTTTCTATTCATTAAATGAACAAACCTGATACTGTATACCGTGAATTTTTCCCTACTGTTTAATTTTACGCATTTTTTGCCTTTCGCAATGAGGGTGAACTTATCATTACAGCGTACATTAGTAAACAACAGAATAAACACAGTAATTAAATGTGAAGGGCGAAATTAAAACCAGGCGAATATGGATTTTACTGGCGAAGGCGACAGTTTGACTGGACAAAAACTTCCCTGTATACAATACATACACTTAATTGAACTGAATTCTGAATTTTGATTTACCTAAGTTTTTTAAATTTTCATTCAGGTATGTTCCAGTGCGTTATTTTGTATTGTGTGATATAGGTATTAGAATTTGGTATCAGTAAAATGTTAACAAAATATAAACCTCATAGTCATTTAAATCTACATCCTCTTGTGGTAGCATGTTCCTGGGTAAGTCATGGTTTCTCATCCTTAATCCAAACTGCAAAAGAACAACAAATATACAGTGATATCTGACTTAATGAATACATGTCAGACTTAAATGAGGGGCTGCAGTGGCTGAGTGGTTGAAGCTTGACATTCTGCTACCACTAGCCCTTCACCACTAGCTCGTGGTTTCGAAGCCTACGTGGGGCAGTTGCCAGGTACTGGTCGCAGGTTGGTGGTCTTTGCTCCGGGTACTCCTCCACCAACAAACCACCTAGCACGTCTTTAAATGACCATAGCTAACAGTTAAAAGGATGTAAAACACAAACAAACCAAACCAAATAAAGGAAACAATTTGTTTGCCTGTGTCTTTAACCATAAATTTACTTCTTGTCTTTAAAATCAGAATTTAATTCAATGAATGTCAAAATTAGGAAAATAACAATAGATTCATCATAACTGACTACTGAATCCTGAATGAAAAAATGATTCCAATAAATAGTTTATACCACATAAACTTACCATTGATGGTCGCAAACAATCAAAATCATGTCTTGGGAGATGGTGGTGATGATGTGGGCCTGTAATATAGATTAAGAATCTGATTTAAGACCAGTTGTGAAGTTTAAACCCTGGATATGTCTTATAACCATATCCACCCTTGGGACAAGCATATCTATTCATATCATATACACTTTCTCGTACCTTTTATCAATAATCAAGAAACTTAAGGCAGATTCTTATAGATGTCGATTTTTATTTTGTAGGTCTGTTTTCTTGAGGATTTTAATAATGTTGAAATTCATCAAAGTTTAGTCTTTGTTACAGAAGTGATATATTAAAACAGTCAAACATTGATCCCTGTTACCGGGTCAATAAGCACCTGATATGCTTAATGAATTCTTAACGCAAATTTTAAATTGTTTTTTTTTGCAAAATATCTGAACATTTACAAAAATTAAAAATTAAATATCTCTCAATGTAAGGTGATAATTTTTTATACCTCTATTTGTAGTTTTAGCTTTTATTTTCAATATTTTTAAGAAACTACAAAATGAAATTATTCTGTTCATTTGTCATTAAGCTAATATTAGTAATAATGTTTTTAATAAATGGGCCAAGATTTGCATGAAAATAATGAAGAAAATATAAAATAAACACATACCACGAATGTTGAATGGCATATCTGTTTCAGGAGGACTAAAGGTGGGGTCAAACACAGGATGTCTGCCCTAAACGCCAACAAAACACAAACCAATTGTTAACGGTGAAAACTGTGACCTTTTCTTTAACACAATATGATGTTTCAAGTTATTAAACCATATGAAATTTGAATTTCAAAAATGAGTAAAATATCCACAAATCTCAGTAAGAAATTTTCATAAACTAAGAATACAAAAAATATTGCCAAGAGTCTACTGAAAACCCTGAAATAACCCATAATTAATACGAAAAACAAATCAGCCGAAGAAAAAAGTACTCACAGAGCCTGAGTTAGGAGGAAACAGGGCATGCCTTGGGGGTCTGTTTCTCTGTGGTGGTTCCCTACGGGGGAGCGTGGGGGGCCGTGTTGCTCTTCTCCGAGTATGATTGTGTTCTTCTTCATCATATAGTTTCTGCGCCAATTCTGCATCCTCGTGTTCCTGCGAAAGTTTTAGCTGTTCCTCCAGCAGAAATGCCATTCTTTCATCGTCGTGCACACTGTATGTATCAACCTGGTATTCACTTTGGGCAGTGGCTTGGCCGTAACCGACCTCATCTGTGATGCCATCGGGACTCAAATAATCCATAACTGAGTGATCGTAGTCTGTAATGTCAGATGACTCTGAGACAGGGTCTGGTGAAAGTTGGTCAAGGTGGAGAGATCCAGAGTCCAAATCATCCACCTCTAAATCATTTTGTTGCAAATGCCATGCTAACTGTGCATCTGGGTCAGTGCTGTCCCCTCGTTGGAACTCTTCTAGCTGTAGTTTTCTTGCAATTTCTGCATCTGTAGCCATTCTTACTAGTATTTGGATATTTCATTTGTCTAGATAAACAAACATATACAAACTATACACCTCATAGCGTTCGAAACAG